AATACTGGGTCCATCTGTCCGTGGTTCATGACAGTGTTGTAGTTTACGATACACTATTTCCACAAAATTGCATTAGAAAATGTTTTCAAGATAGCACAAGTCACTTTCTTTAAAACTAGACTTTAGTTATTAGAACATATTTGAGCCAAACATAACTTTACATCTGCTGGGATTTAACCCATAACCCTGGAGCTTCTCTGTAACCCACGCCCCACCCCCATCTTGATGCCAGTCGGAAACATTTCCCTGCACAGAGCTGCCAGCTCCTTCCCAAACCTTTCTCCATCCCCTTCATTGTTTGAAATCTTCCTATTAGAAGACTCTTCAGCTACTGTTGAGGGTTTTCTGTGCTTTGGTATCCACCTCTACAAACCTCCTCTGATTCTCCTTACAGGGACTTTAGGTGGAGTTGGTGTTTCCATGGTAACTTCAAAGTTTGGCAAGATGACAAACAGATCTCCTTTAAAGGGAGGCAAGTTTCAATCACCAGCTCTGACCAATTTCAGCACTTCCATCAGAGAGGAGACTGACTTCATGCTCACATGTAGAGTAGTGGTTGTTAGTGGTATCATATAATCTCTGCTGGTGATGCTTCTGATTAGATATTTTTGATTTTTTTTATGTTGTCACCATTTGAGAATTATCTGCATGATTTGGAGGTATATCGTTGTCTATGTTTTGCGTCTATGTTTTGTATAAAATAGTTATTACATGTTAGTCTGAATAATGTGTTGGGGATTACCATATGCTCTCATCTCTCATGTTCTGATTTACAGAGCTGTCCTGCTTTGGATGGAGAACCAAACAACTCCTCTCAAACAGCCGATTGTTTTTGAGCTTGAGGGCTTTGATGTACAGCCAGGCAATGGAACCTTCTTGTTTCTGCTGGCTTTGCTTGCCTATATAGTGGTGCTGCTGGGGAACGGTGTGGTGATCTGTGTTATTATGACAGACAGGAACCTGCACAGACCCATGTTTGTCATGATCTGTCACCTGGTGGTCTGTGATCTGCTGGGGGCCACAATGGTGCTTCCTCGTCTCATGATGGATTTGCTGACGGGGCTGAAGAAGATTGCCTACATCCCAGCAGTCGCTCAGGCCTTCTGTGCTCACACATACGGTGCAGCAATGCTGACTATTTTAAGTGTGATGGCCTATGACAGGTAAGGAAGGTGTGAAAACAGAAGAGTTTATGCAGACATGCTTTTGATTTTTAGTAATTACAGTCCAGAAATCTACCCGTTTTGTAAGAAGATCAAGGTTGAATTGTCACTGTGATTTATGTGTTTAGTTCTAACAATCAGAAAATGCTTGTGTATGGAAATCAGTATGAATATGTGTTTTTTAGAGACAATCTTCTCAGTGCATTGTGGTTCATTTTTAGGTTATGGCCAGCACACTGTGTTAAGAAGAACTGACAAAGTCTAAACATGTATTGATATGAGGATGTTTATTATGAGCATAACCTTATTGCAAACTTTAAAACACAATAAATCTATCTAGTTTACTTTCAGTGTTTTGGTTAAAAGAGTTCAGCATCAATAATATTATTTCTACCTCTGGGAATCTAATCATATATTGTAAAATATGCTTTTACTTCCAAACACAAAATTTTAAGGTCAGTTCAGTTATGGTGAATTTAACCAACTTTGAGGAAATTTTACATTAAAGTGAAAAATATCAGAAAATAGTTTAGCCATGAAGGAGAGAATGTCTTTAAATGCAAATCTAAGGAGTTTGTTTCTCTGTCTGCAGGTTTGTGGCGGTGTGTGAACCTCTCCGGTACCACTCCATCATGACTTCAGCCCGGCTGCACAGCTGCTGCGCTCTGGCCTGGATCGTCGCCCTGCTGCTCATCGCCGTGCTCTTCTCCTTCCACATGAACGTCCCTCTGTGCGGCCGAGTCATCCAACATGTCTTCTGCACCAACCGAGGCATCTTAAACCTGGCCTGTATTCCCACCCCCATCAGTAACATCTACGGTCCGTCCATCCCTTTGTTATACAATGATATAAACACAAATCTCAAAAATTAAAATCGAGGGAATTTTTGCAGGGTTTTTTTTTTTTTCTGAAACTGTCTTACAAGTAGATAGAAGCACTTGTTTATTTTCTTTCTGCTTATTTGTGCAGAGCAACTTCATTTTTTTAACTGCTTGTTGTCTCTTATTTTTCTAGGTCTAGCGATATCCTGGTCTTTAAGTACGATGACCTTCGTTATCGTCTCTTTCTCCTACATCAGGATCCTGAGCGCATCCCTAAAACAAGGAAGAAGAGATGGATGCCTCCGTAGCAAGGCCTTTCAGACCTGTCTGCCACACATTGTTGTGTACATTATCTTTCAAATCTCTTCTTTGATAATCATTTTAAGTCACAGGTTCCCCTCCCTGTCTGGAAACATGCGGAAGTTCTTCAGCATCCTCATCTACATCATTCCCCCCATCATTAACCCCATCATCTACGGCCTGGTCAGTAAAGACCTGAGGGTCAGCTTCATCAAACATTTCTCTAACAGAGTGAAAAATAAACACTGACCTGCTTATGTAGATCTTTTTCGTAGAATTTTAACTCCTTTGGAGCTGAAGCGGGCCTTACCTCTGGGCCAACACTGCAGTCAACACTGACAGCCTTTAGTTTCCAAATCACACGCAGAAATGTCTAACATCTCATTCAGCCAAAGCAAAAACTACTGGAGGACTCTGGAAAAATAGAGAAATACGAGTCATGGTTTAAATGAACAACAGAAGCTATTTATTGTGACGCTTCAGGATGATCTTACTGCTGTTAAGCAGTAAGATATAGCAAGCAGGGAGCAAACAACTTCACAGAGAACCCAGTTTATTCAGAAATGTATCATGTCTAGACAAGGCCGTGTGAAGTGGGGGTGAGAGTGGTGAGAGGGAGATTTCTTTAAAATTAATTAAAAATACTTTGCACAACTCATAAATTTCTTTGGAATATTTTGGGAAATTATACCGACTTTTTTTATTTTACTATTACGTGTATTTGAATTTTTATGTGGCATCGGATGTAGGAGTTTACCCTGAAATTTGAAGGGTTGACGGTTCAAGCCCCGGCTACGACTTTCATTGTCGTTGTGTCCTTGGGCAAGACACTTCACCTGCATTGTCTACTGATGGTGGTCAGCGGGCCCGGTGGCGCCAGTGTACGGCAGCCCCGCTTCTGTCAGTGAGCCCCAGGGCAGCTGTGGCTACAATGTAGCTTGCCACCATCAGTGTGTAAATGGGTGAATCACTGAATGTAGTGTAAAGCGCTATGGTCAAGTCTCCTGGTTTGAAAAAGCGTTATATAAGTACAGGTCATTTACCGTTTACCATATTTTGAGGCCTAATCAACACAAGTTCAATGCAATTATGTTTTCATGGCAATGTCAAGCAAGCCAGAACATGGAGTACCGGGCGCGGCAGCAGACTAGTAAATATACATAGTCTAATGACAAAGGAGGAGGAATTATAGCACAGAAACACACTTTGGATTTTTTTGGAAAACCATCTCAGTGAGGAAGAACACTGGTACAGCAACCATGACAACGGAGAGCAGCCGGAGTGAGGAGACTGTCCGCCTGACTCTGATTCAAATTTCCTGCATGGCGTTGTGGTAATGAAACATTGTCACGTTCTGTGGCACCGGCTTGCATTGCTAGATGCCAGTGGCAGCATCATGTGACAGAAACAGATCATATTTTATGCTACATTTGTCTGAAACCAGTCAAACAAAACATCATTCCTAAGACAAATTTAAGAAAGACAACCCCTTCTTGAACTCCGGCTTTTCAAATTGGCATAAAGTCTGTTTCATTGTGAAGTTTAATCAATAGTGCACATATTCATGTGAGAATTGATTTATTTGATCAATGATGTCTGTGTGTTACAGACCCTGGTTACGTGCTATGATGTGTATATAACAATAAAGTAGTTAATTTATTTTTATCTACTGTATTTTAAATAGGCCTATAGGCTCATTGGTCTTTTGTCCAAAAAAAAACAGCAAAAAAAATTCACAGCACCCCCTGATCAATATGACTTCCAGCAGACCTGTGTTCAGAGGAACTTTTAATCATACCTCCTCTGAGCACAGCCATGTAATCCAGTGTATCTGCCTTCAGATCCCTCTTTCTCTATCTGTATAATGGGTCTGTTTTATGTGTTGTCTTCTCAATTCAGAGGGCCCCCTGCCTGTCTTTGCCTGGGGCCTCTAATTTCCTAAATCTGCCCCTGCCTGTAACGTATGCCCTGGACATGCTGCTGTGGTTGGCCTCCACCATGTTGCTTCTCCCAGGTTCGGGCTGTGCAGAGCTTCTAGCGGGTTCCAGCTCAGACTGTTGTGCATCTTCTCCACTAGCACTGACAACATCAGGGATCAATCTGTCTGATCTTGCAGAGATGCTGACCATGTTCCACTGTGGTTCTTTTAACCACTTTTCTGCTAGCTAAAACTCTCCCTGTCTCTAACATTAAAGCAGTCATTTGCCCGGTAACATTAATGTAGGCTACGTCACTTCACATATTTACATGTTTTCCCACCTCTAAAACTGCTTCTCTCAGATTCCAGGCGAGGCAGGAGGCAGGGAGTCTGAGTGTGCCATTTTCCCAGTCTCTATTGTAAATGCAGCTGCTCCGTTACTCCAGCTATAAAATCAGCGGTGCCTGTCATGGAGGCCACGTCTGAACCTGTTGGTGGTCACCAGCAGGAAGGGATGTTCTTAAGCTGCAGAACAAGTCCTTTCGAGTCTAGTTAGGTTGCGGGACTCCTGAGGCCAAGCGGGCCACTACCCATTCGGTCGTAAAAACAATCATTTTGGGGACCTGGGAGACATTTGGAGAGGCCATTAAAAAGACTATTGGTCACCTCTGAAGAAGAAGGTGGTGCTTGCGTACTTTTACTGTGAGCAGAAGCTGCTGACCTTGAAAAAGGATATTGTCAGATGGTGGAGGAAGTACTTCAAAGATTTCCTCAGCCAGGCTGTGATGCTTTTCCTGGCAGAAGCAGACCCTGGGTGCTTGGAGCCAGATTTGGACCCAATGTGGCCTTGCAGCTCTGAGGCTGCAAGGCTTGTTGTGCTTACCACTGTAGAAGAATAGATAATTGTATTCATTCAGTTCCTCTGGCAGAAGCTACAGGTGTTTCAGCACCAACCGAGTGACATAGTCCTCCCTGGCTTCCTCCACAGGGTGTTGTGTCTTGAACACCTGTAAGGACGTTGAACGGGATTTCCAGGGACATAGGACCGCCAGTGTACGGGGATCTGAGCGGCTCTGACAGCAAAATAATAGGCAGGATTGTAATCTTAATGAACTGAGTGCACAGATGAAACATATTAAAACTACTTTTTACCCACTGATCACAGCAAATATAGCAAAGTCGCTCTCTGCCTTTGAACGCAGGAGCAGCAGAACCATCAGACGCATCTGGACACACTTTAGTGAATGTCTGACCTTATTATGAACAAGCATCATAAAGGAAGCAGCCGAAGTTTTTTTGCTGCTTCGAGTGCTTTCAGTCTGAACGTAGCATTAGACCCTCTGGAAGGTCAAATGGCTGTTAGCCTTGATGACAGCATGATGAACAGGAACACTAGGAAAAAATGTTGTAACATTGTTGAACATTGAAACCTGTCCCCCCTAGGTTTTTTCTCTGCTTTATGTGCAGCGCTTTTTGCTTCTCAGATAAAGGTGGTACAGGATTAGGCCTCAGAGTGGTCTTTACTCATGCTCCACAGTCCTTCAATGTGTCCTCTACCAAAAAGAAAATCTCTGTTTCCTCTGCTGAGGAAACATTTCAATCTAAATGTATCTGTGCTGTAAAAGAAAACATCTAAAAGTGATGGTGGTGGGGGGGACTTTTTCCTGAATCGGCTCAGCGCCATGGGAGCCCAGTAGGGCTGAATCAAAGTGACATCATTAAATAATCGACTCAAAATGAGGGCAACAGAAAAGCCATGAGATGAGAGAAGAGGAGGACGTCCTCCATGCTCAGAGGACTGCAGACTCAGAGCTCCGCTGTCTGTGTGTTCGGTTGGTGGTACACATTATTTCTATCTGCTAAATTCTACGATTACTTTCAGATGAAGGGATGTCATCTTTACCTTAAATGTCACATTATGTAGCTTCATTATGACATGTCTGTTTGTGTTCTAGAGCTCTGCTCTGCTTTGGATGGAGAACCTAACGATGGGCGTTCCTCTCAAACAGCCCGTTGTGTTTGAACTCCAGGGTTTTGATGTTCCACCAGGACAGGGCCCGTTCCTCTTCTTCTTGGCCCTGTTCGCCTACATAGTGGTGCTGCTGGGGAACGGGGTGGTGATCTGTGTGATCATGAAGGACAGGAACCTGCACAGACCCATGTTTGTGATGATCTGCCACCTGGTTGTCTGTGATCTGCTGGGGGCCACGGCGGTCCTTCCTCGCCTCATGATGCACTTCCTGATGGGGCAGCAGAAGATCTCCTACCTCCCAGCCATCGCTCAGGGCTTCTGTGTGCACACATACGGTGTTGCTATGCAGACCATTCTGGGGGTGATGGCCTATGACAGGTGATGAAATCATCAGTTACTGAATGATCATCAGGCGCTGTGCTGCTAATGCTGCTGCTGTTGCTGCTTTGATGTTTTTGCAGTATCAGCCTCGTGTGAATTTATGCAATTAAATTTATATTTGAGTGGATTAAATATTTTCTATTAAACTGAATCAGAAAAAGCTTTATTGCAAAGTATTTTTTTTACACAGATGAGGAATTAGCTCTGATGAAAAAGTTGTACAAACACAAGAAACATGAAGACATGGAAAACATGAGCGCTGATTAAAAAAAATTAAACATTTCATAAAATGTTTCACAGTGAAAAATCACAGCTTTGTGCAGAGAAAAAGAAAATAACTAACAAGAATATAAAAGAAAATGAACTAGTATTTACACACTGCAAACCATATAATAGCAGGAAGTAACTTTTCCTTGAAAAAAGTGTTAGTTTCTCTTATTTTAATCAGGTATAAAATTTACAAATCAGATCATTTACATTTAAAATAAAAAAAAAACTGAAACTGTATTATTCCATTTCCAGAGCATAATATCTAACTTTCATATTTGAGGCAAAGAAATTCTCCTATAGGCAGATTATCTACCTGCTCAAATTTAGAAACATTACTCTGATTTTAAGATATTTCCTATTTATTTTTACATCAGTGTGTGTGCACTGGAAAAAGTGGAAATCTAGACAAGTCATTTTTTCTTAAAATAGGTTAATTTGTTTTTGAATTAAGGAGGTAAAAGAGAGATTTTGCCAATGGAACAACACAATTCACATTAAAATAAGAAAAAACAATTGTATTGTCTTATTTGAAGTACATATTATCTCATTTTATTTTAAGTTTAAAAATACTAATTCCATTGGCGGATCATCTTATTTACCTACTTAAATTAAGGGGAAACACAATTCAATATTTTTTTTACGAATTTCTTGATCGTTTTTGCAGAGTGGAGTTCTTTGCATTATTTCCGGGGGGGGGGGGGGGGGGGGGGGTTATCATTGGAGAACTGGGAACCAGTTGGTGAGATTAGGTGATAGGAAACTGTTTTTGTGGTCATGAATTAGCTGTATATTCATTTAATTATTGCATTTCCTGAGTGCTGCTCAATGTTGCAGTGGGTTGCACTGCAGCAAGAAGGTTCTGGGTTGGATTCCCTTTCTACATGGAGTTTGCATGCTCTCCCTGAGCATGCGTGGGTTCTCTCCGGGTACGTTGGCTTCTCTAAATTCTCCTTAACTGTGTGCGTGAATGGTTGTTTGTCTCTGTGTTGCCCTGTGATGGACTGGCGACCTGTCCAGGGTGGACCCTTTCTCTATCCCATTGACATCTGGAGATAGGCACCAGCATCCCACTTGGGATTAAGCGTGTTAGAAGGTGGATATGGCATTTCCTTTCCTTCTCTTTTCTGTTTATATTAACAGAAAAAAACAAAATCCAGATTTAAACGTCAAAATGTGTGAAGTCAGACTGATGGAGACTTTATAAGGCCTGTGTGGAACTAGATGACAGAACTAAACAATCTTCTTTTGTTAAAGCTGTCTTTCTGCCGGCGCCGTCTCTCTGCAGGTTTGTGGCGGTGTGTGAACCTCTCCGGTACCACTCCATCATGACTTCAGCCCGGCTGCACTGCTGCTGCGCTCTGGCCTGGATCGTCGCCCTGCTGCTCATCGCCGTGCTCTTCTCCTTCCACATGAACGTCCCGCTGTGCGGCCGGGTCATCCAACATGTCTACTGCAGTAACCGCAGCATCCTGAACCTGGCCTGCATTCCCACCCCCATCAGCAACATCTACGGTGGGGGCTGCTGCCAACAACCAAGCGTTGGGCCATGTCTGAGGCGCCATATTAAAGTGGTCCTGTCTGTTTCTCACAGGTCTGTCCATGACCTGGTCAGTGAGTACGGGGGTATTCATCATCATTGCCTTTTCCTACATCAGAATCCTGAGTGTGTCGTTCAACCAAGGCAGAAGCGACAGCAGCGTTCACAGGAAGGCCTTCCAGACATGCGCTCCTCACCTTGTTGTCTATGTCCTCTACCAAATAGCTTCAGTTATCATCATCGTCAGCCTCAGGTTTCCTTCTGCCTCCCAAAACATCAGAAAATTCTTTAGTATCCTCTTCATCATAGTTCCACCGGCTCTCAACCCCATCATCTATGGAATGGTCAGTAAGGATCTACGGGCGGCCATCATGAAGCTCTTCTCCGTACAAGTCAGGAGAGTGTGTCACAAAGAGTGACTCAGCCTTCAGCTCATACCTGTCATCAGTGTCAGGACTCCTTCTTAGCAAAACGGGAATAAATCTGACCAGATATCTGGTTTTATGATAGGAGTAAATAACATTTTAACAACTTTCAAAAGGAAATATCATCATCAAAAAATAAAGCCACTTTACAACTGTAATAAACCTCTCACTCAAATCGAAAAGTCTTTTTCAATTTTATTTCCACAGCATAATATCAAACTTTCATATTTGAAGGGAAGAAATTCTCCATTAGGCACATTATCTACCTGCTCAAATTTAGAGCCAATTAAAACTTTAAGATAATTCCACTACAAAAATGATCTGGAAATAAGTAGAAAAAATGCTTAAAGCAGATTTACCCTTAATTTGAGTGAGTAAATAAGATGATTTGCTAATGCAATGAGTATTTTTAAGCTTAATATAAGATAATTAGATAACAGGCTCTTGAAATCAGACTATGCAATATTTATTTCTTATTTTAAATGTAAATTGTCTTGCTCCATTGGCAAAGTGTCTCACCTCCTCAGTTCAAGGAAAAAATGCAATTATTTTAAGAAAAAAGGACTTACCGGTATTAAGATTTGTATTTTTCTAGAGGGGGCATCAGTGGGGGAACTGGGAACCACTTGGTGAGATTAGCTGGTAGGAAGCTGTTTTTGTGCTCATGAATTAGCTTTCTATTCACTGAATGATGGCATTTCCTTTTCTTTTCTGTTTATATTAACAAAATTCACAGTTCTGGTTTAATTCTAATTTAAAATCAAAGTAATCATTTAATGGGAGGAGATAATTAAGTTTTGGTTTTTTTGTATTTATTTACATACACCATGATTTACCCCAAAGAAACGATCATCTACTGAATATAGTTTCTATTAAGAAAAAACATAACATGAGAAACCAACTCGGGATGGATGAATGGTTCATGTTAGTGTGGAACGGATAACAGCTTTTGTTCATTATAAACTGTGATTAAAGACATCAATCAAAAGACCTGATTTGACAGACTTCTGATTTTTAGCAGTTGTCTCTCATTTTCACATTTTTTTTTCTAAATTGTGTCTTTTTTTTTTTGCTTGTATGTTCTTTTTTTCTATCATTGCAGTAAAATATGATATTTTAGCTGTATTTTATTAATTAAAATCCCATAGATTTTTATTGTTGAATGAAAATGTTAATGATTTTGTGCATATGTGACCTCATCCTGTGTAAACGGAATAACATCAGGCTTGGGGTTAGTGCTGGTTCCTTCTCGTTGCTGTATTGTCTACTCTGCTCGTCTCTCCCCGGCTCCTCAGACTCGTTTTTCCCCTGATGCCTCCATGGTTTTGGTTTGTTTTATATTTTAAGTTGGATTTCTGGATTTCTGCCTCTGCTACCTTTGGTCTGCAATTAAAACCTCTCAGAACTCATCTCTGCTTCACTCGTCTCTGCATCTGGGTCCTCGAGCAACCTCACCACCCATTGTTGACAGAAGGAACCAGCCCTGAGTGACTGCAGAGGTGGAGTATTTAAGGAGAACAAAACAAAGGATGGACTAATGAGCTGAATGAGGAGCAGGTGTGGGTGGAACTGGCAAGAGGGAATCCAAGGGGAAAGAAAACAATCACAACAGAGAGTAACCAAAGAATGCTGGACTACCATGGAAAATAAAAACAACTGATAACAGAAAACTGAAAACTCAGAGTCACAACAAATGAGAACCATAACAAACACTTACTCTCCAGCCGAAAGCACCTACCTGTGACAGTAAATAACTCAAGGAGCTCAAGAAGTATTACAACATTAACTTCCTAAATGATGCATGCAGTATATATAGCCCTCCCTTGTCATGCACATCCTTGTGACGGTTGGCATATGGTGTAAGTTTCTATTTCTTCAAACTGTAAAATCCTTGCAACAAACTAAATTATAATAACACTAAAATGCTTTCTTTAAACCAAACTACGATGTTCCTCTTATATTTGCCGAATTCATGTTAGAATATTTTGCAAAAATATGTTGAGATGCATGATGGGGTTTTGCATCTAAAGGCTAACGTTTCCTGTCTTACGTGCATTGTTGGCAGGTTGGGATGTTTCCCAATCTGGTAGTTTAGGATGGCCATCTATGGGTAAAAAATGTTTTTTTTTAGATTTATGGCCTAAGAGATTAATAGGCTTTGGTTCAAATTGGGCGAGATTTTCTATATCCAGGTGGTTTATGAACATTTTTTGGGCTGAAAAACGTGAGTCAGTGACGGCACTGTATGTGTGAATGGGTGTCTGACTGGCTTTGTGCAAGTATGGACACACCAGCACAATGTGTGTCACAATGTGCGTCACATTTGATTGCACGCTTTTGGTTGTGCTTCAATTTTTTATTTCGGCGGGGGGAGGCGGTGGTCCATAAGTGGGCCGGTATAGATGGAAAATTGCCAGGGCCTAAAATCGTTCCCAGTTCTAGCCTGCTACCAAGACTGAATGTGACAATAAATCTGATTAAGAACAACTGTGAGGAACTGTGTTTTTATGACTTCTATAAATGATTCCTACCAGAATGAGGTTAATTTGAGTTACTTTGCTTTAATGGGGACTTTTCCCTGTAATATATAAATTTCAATTGGAAAAACTCACATGGAGAGAAAAGACAATTCGATTAAATTTATTGATACAATTACTTGGTATTTGGTGGTCAGACCTCGGCAGGAAACATAGCGCTGAATTTTGATAGATATGCATGAACTAAAGTAAAGAACGGGGCTGTTTCCCCACAGGCCTGAAACTGGTGGTGGATTAGAGATAGATGAAGTTGGTCAGTCTGTAGACTGCTGGTTAGTGAGACGGTCTGCTGAGCTTTATGAGGAGATCCAGTGGACTGCGTGAGCTGATATTAGAGCTTCACTCAGGGACCTGGAAGATGGAAGTCCGGTTTGGATAACACAGGTTGAGAGAACCTGTCCATGATGAGCAAGCATGAAGCGACAGTGGGAGGAAAAACTCCCCATTGGGAACAAACCTCTGGCAGAACCAGGCTCAACATGGTGGTCGTCTGCCGGACCGGTTGAAATGAGACACGGAATGCAGTAAGAGTCCAGGAAGAATGAAACTCTGATGAAGCTTTAGCTACAATGGTGGAGGAGGGGCTGGAGGTGGGTTGAAACGATGTCATCTGAATGAAGTCACACAGCGCATCCACCGTCTGCGCACTAGGCAGCAGACAAGTTGCGGATCGGAGGCCTTTTAAGGTGAACTTTGGATGCTGATTGGCTTTCATGGAGGCGTGGTTCAAAGCTGATTGGCTGTGTTGTAAGCGGATGAAGGTGAGCAATTAGTTTATTCCGTTAAAATTCCGCCTAGGCTACATATAACATATGTAAATGTAGATCAGTGCCACAAAATTGGTGATAGGCAACTCAAGTAAATTAAACATCAGATTAAAACATTTTAAATCTCTTAAATTATCTCATAATGGCCTAAAATGTTACATTAAATACAATAAAGACTAAATTGAAGGCATGGAATACAAAGATAAAGAAATTATTTTCATTTATAAAATTGGTTTTATTAATGGCTGCTTTAAAAACTCATGATAAATACTGACAATCATATAAAGCAAAGTTTGAAGCTTAGCCTCCAAAGTAGACAGTGTGTCTGCATCACAGGCTAACTGGGAGTTAGTTCCACAGGAGAGGAGCCTGCAGAAACTATGTCCACTTATAAGACTAAAAGTCTTAAAGACTTAAAACGTTCCTATTTGATAAAGCTCATAGTTCGAGTGATTCAGGTTTCCTTTGTGTCCAACAGTCATTCACGTCTTAATACTTCATTCATGCTTTATTTCCAGTCAGATGAAATACCATACAATCCACTCAAAGAACTTTAGTACTATAAGGTACTTTAAACTAGGGCCATATTTGTCTATAAAACTGGAATCCGATTCACAGCCTTGTACTTTTTCACAAAATTTGTTCACCAGTACTTCTGTGTTTTTTTTGTTTTTTATTAGATTTTTTTTTTTTTTTTTTTTTTATTTTTTTTTTTTTTTTTTTTTTACCTTCAACTTTGAGTTGCTCATAGCAGATGCTCCTTC